CAACAATAGATCTATAGTGAGAGGGATCAGGAAGAAAATCATTCCCTTCAATGGTAAGTTTAGAGCTACTCACCATGGGTGTTTTCACACCCTTGAAATCTGACATTCCAGCTTGGTATAAGAGATCCCTGATATACTTTGCTTGGGATAAGTGTAGACAGCCACCAGGAAGCTTTCTAACCTCAATGCCTAGAAAGAAATATATGTCTCCGGTCTCCCAGATGTTTGAGAGAAAATGAAGAGTCCAGCTTCTGAATAATCTGTTGAATGATAGTGGATTTGTTCCCAATGACCAGAATGTCATCCACATAGATTAAGATATATATTTGTATGCAAGAGGTTAGGTACATGAGTAGAGAAGGGTCACACTTGCTTTGTTTAAACCCAGCACTGTATAAAACTGAAGTGAGTTTCGGAAACCATGCCTTGGGAGCTTGTTTGAGACCATACAAAGATTTGTGTAGTCTGCAAACAAGAGAAGTGTCCTGATGCTGAAAACCAGGAGGCTGTGTCATGTAAACCCCTTCCTAAATTTCCCCATTGAGGAAGGCATTATTTTCATCAAGCTGCTGTATGGACCATTGATGAGAGACAACAAGTGTTACAAGAATTCTGATTGTAATAGGTTTAACTACTGGAGATAATGTTTCCCCAAAGTCAAACCCAAACGTTTGATGAAACCCTTTGGCCACCAATCTTGCTTTGAACTTGTTAACAGAACCATCTGCATTTTCCTTAATTCTAAACACCCACTTGCAACCGATTGCTTGTTTTCCTGGGGGTAGAGATACTAAGGACCAAGTGTTATTTGCTAACAAAGCATCATATTCAGACTGTATTGCTGCAAACCAAGGTGGAGAAGAAAGAACTTGCTTAACTGATTTAGGCTCAACATGAGCCAACGGTAAGATGGGATTAAGTCTAGGTTTAACAATCCCAGATTTGGATCTGGTTTGCATGGGATGATTATTATGGATAGGAACAAAAGAAGTGGAAGAGGATAAAGCAGATGGAGTAGAAGAGGAGATAATGTTGGTATTGGTTTGAGAGTTGAGAGAAAGAGTGTTATTTTGGGAGGAAGTGTGGTTATGAGTGTGATGGAAAGGAGTCTGAGGTGAAGATGAAGAAGTAGAATTCAAATTATTGGAAGTAGTATCAGTAACAGAGGTTGGAAATGAAGTAGAAGAGGGGTTGAGTATAGTGATGGGGGCATAAGAAAATGCTGGGACAATTGGAGATTTAGGTGTAGAAGGGAAAAGTGTTAGATATGGAAACTTTGTTTCATTAAAAATAACATTTTTAGAGAGATAGACTTTTCCACACGGTGAGAGGCATTTGTAGCCTTTATGATGAGAGGAGTACCCTAAAAATATACACTCTTTGGAGTGATAGTCATGTTTATGTTTATTATAGGGTCTAATGAAAGGGTAACATGCACACCCAAAAACTTTAAGAAAGGAGTAATCAGGAACAGTGCCATAGAGTTTGAAAAATGGGCTAAGGTTTGCAATGGATCTTGAAGGCAGTCTGTTGATAAGATGGACAGCTGTAGCAAATGCAGTGTCCCAGAATTTGAAGGGTAAAGATGAATGGGCTAAAAGACATAAACCCTTGTCACTTAGAAATTGTGTGAATTTTGTGAATGCATCAATGAAAGAAATGTAATTGGAATAGCCATCAAAAGACTGAATAGGAGCTGAGCCCCACAGATGGATAAGGTTTTCAAGACAGCATGCAGAACAAAAATCAACACCTCCTTTATTTATAAAGGAGATATTACACATGTTCAGTACAAACTTAAGAGCCTCTAAATGAGGATGACCCAATCTTAAATGCCAAATATTACAAGAGTCATTTAACTGAGACTTATTACATGTAGATACAAAAGAAGTAGGACACATAGAGCTATCTATTGACTTTTTGGATTTTTTGGCAGTAGAGTGATGAGAACCAAGAGCTGGAAAGGACATAAACTTGTACAGACCATCTGCACCTAAGTATGCCATAAAGCAGGATTTGTTTAGAAACATGGGATTTGACAAAACACTCGTGAGGATGAAATTCAGAGAATGCATTATTATCCTTGGCAAACTGACCAACACTTAATAGATTTTTAGTTATAGTAGGAACATGTAGGATGTTATTAAGAGATAATGAAAGAGATGATTGATAAGGAGAGGGAAAGGATGAAAAACCAATAGACTTAATCTCCAAACCTTGGCCATTGCCCATGAAAAGCTTATCAGTTGTAGAAATAGGTAGCAATAGGTTCACTGTGTTGCAGATTGAGCGGGTCAGCTGTGACATGATGTGTGGCACCAGAAACTGAGAACCAATTTTGAATATGAGGTGGAGGTCCTAGCACAGAGGTGTTTGCAGAAGCCCAGGCTGCAATTGGAGTACCATTAGCAGGAGATGATGTGTAAGAAGAAGAGGGTAACCCCCACATTGAAGGATGGTGTGGCAGAAGAATTGGGTGAATATCCTGGTGTAGAGGCTTGCTGGTTTTGATTTGGATATTCACTAGGTGTTGGAAAAGGGAAATGTGGAAGCTGGTTTGAGTATGGATAAGGTTGTGACTGATAAGGTGCATAAGTTGGATTAGGGTTAGGAGCTGTATAAGCTAGGTTAGGGGCAGCATAAGCAGGATTGTATCTATGGTAGCATACAAGTGCATTATGGCCATTTTTGCCACAGACTTGACAGATTATTGAGCTTCTACCACCTGAACGACAACCTCTGCCTCTGTGAAAACCTCCTCGACCTCTGCCTCTGTAGGAAGAGCTGCTATTAGGGTTATCAAATTGAGCCAGTTGAGCTGAAGCCTGTTCTGAATTGGTCTGAGTCACAGTTTCAGTGTTTTGAGAGTGAGATTCAGCTTGAGCAACATTAGCAGAAAACATTGTTTGTTGTGAGGAATCACGAAGTTTTCTCAGTCGTAATTCCTTCGCCAACAAGAGACCTTCAAGTTCAGAGATGGTAACAGGATCTGAAGTACTTCGAGAGGTGACAGATGATATTAGTGATTCGTAATCCTCAGGAAGACCTTGGTTGATCATTGGTTGATATAGGCTCACCGACAGACATTAGGTTATCAACTATTGTCTGGATACAAAGCAAATAATCAGAGATTGAGCGATCGCCTTTTCCGGTGTTATAGAGTTCCGATTTCAGTTGACCAGGTTTTGCGATAATACTTGATCGGAAGAGTTTCTGAATTTCACTCCAAAGCTCATGTGGATGCTTGCGATTGATGACACAAGCATGAAGCGATTCAGAAAGCGAGGCTAGGAGCCAGGAAAACAACATTTGATCTTGTTGCTCCCAGATACTGCATGCTTCGTTGATTGTCTTTCCTCCATTTTCGTCAACTGCGAATCGATCTGGTATCTGAGGATTCTCTATGAACTTGAGAAGTTTGTGAGCACGTACAACAGATTGAACATGATGTCGCCAGCAGGAAATTGTTGGAATCAAGTTTAACAGGTAGAGGATGGTGAGAGATTACAGAAGAATTTTGCGAGGCAGCGTGAGAAGATGATTGCGAGGAAGAATCGGATGAAGAATTCGTCATGGTTGATCGAGCAAAGCTCTGATACCATATTAGAATGAAGGCAGAGTAGAAGATGGAAATGAAATCATCTTAATGAGAATTGGAAGATTACAAAGTATTTATATAGTTGGTGGTTTAACTAACTAACAGCTAGTCTAACCGAAGCCTAACAGACTGTAGTTGCACAATATTATAAAGGAATACATGTGTAGAGAATATCTAGTACTCCAAACAAGGTTTGATATATCACTATTGGAAGTGCTCCAATGCCAATTATGGCTACTGTTCATGGCGTAAACCAGAATCCTAACTACGGTTTGCCATATATATATTGTTGTATATATTATTCTTGTTATCAAATGCTATATAAGAAGCTATATTTAGAACACTAGGTTTCGTATACAAAGATATACAAAATGGGCTAAGCCCAATACTACTAGGGTTTCCACAAGAATGAATGCGTAGTGGACGGAGTACATATGGGGCTAAGATGCCATACTCATTTTTTTGCCAATCGCTGGTCGGTGCATTGGCACCCACACGTGTTGAGTGGAATTCTTCCCAAGAGCTTTAGAACCGAAGGAAAAACGGTAGGAGAACCATTAGACCCTAACCCCTAAATGGATAAACCCCTTACCCCCGACCCTGAAGCCTAACCCCTAAACCGAAACCCTACACCCTAAATCCTAAATCATAAACCCTAACCCCTAAACCCTAAGGGCCATTGTCTGATTTGTACCAACAATTTTTAAAATGTAAAGGCTGTTTAGTTAGTGAATGCAATCTAAGACATGTTAGGGTTAGATGAACCGTGAGCGTATCTGCGTATGTCTTTGGAGAGTGCAAAGTGGAGGGCGGATTGATCATTTATTATATTTTTTAATATTTTTATCTTTTTTATCTTTCTTATGTTTTTATCCTTATATCAATTTTTATTATATATTTAATTTCCCTTTTTATTTTTATCACTTTTATCTCTATCTCATATTTATGTTTATGTATATTGTATTTTCTTTATCTTTTTTTACCATACCTTATCAATTTCTTTTATCTTATCTTTTTCTTTTCCTTTTGGCTCTGATATCATGTATCGATTCGTATTAGCCGACCCCAAAATCTTTTAGGACTAAGGCTTGAATGTTGTTGTTGTTGTTGTAAGCCCTTAACCCTTGGGAAATGAATCAAATCTAATAATCCAATGCATAGTGAAATAACTTTAGAAAGCGAAACCTTGACGCACCGGTTAAGGTTTTGTTGTGTGACCAAGAGGTCTCATGATCAAGTCTTGGTAACAGCCTCTTGTCAAAATTTGATAGGGAAAGAATTGCTCCTTATACACCCTTGTGGTGGGACCTTTTCCCGGACCATCGCCTTGCGGGGATGCCTTCGAGCACCGGGCTGCCCTTTTTTTAATAGTGAAATAACTTCCATGGAGTTCTCGATGCAGGAAATCTTATTGTCACTTGGTAGGGCACAAGCCCCCTGGCGTGCCTAGTGTGCCAAGAGAAGCTCCTGCCCAACCGCAAGTTAGAGTTGTGAATTCACAAATGCAGTTGCCAACCACTGAACATCAGCCAGTTAATAGTCTTGTTGATGACAGATCAGCAGATATGATATCCGAGGAGAACATTCATCTCTTTATGAGGCAAATGTTTTTTATTTTAGGATTTATTGGTGGACCTTTGCAGTGCTCTTTCTACACCAGGCTTATTATAACTGACTGATTCTACATATCTACAGATGTGAAGCTTATATACAAAAAGAAAATGAATTGAAGCAAACGGTGAGTAACCTTGCAGAGCGTGTTTTTGACACATCTGCTTTTTTCTTTGGACCTGATTGGTTATGAATTTCTCTATGTGCTTTGATTACTCAAAGAATACTTTCAAAGTTCATCTACTTATTTTGCGAGGATGGAATAGATTGAAGAATTAGAGAGGGAGCTGGATGATACAAGAAAGAAGTGTGCTGATATTTCATCGCGCCTGGAAATGCAGAAGAATCTCAAAGCTATGAGTGGAATGCGAAATGTTTAATGAGTCTTCTTCCTGGTGACCAAGTTGATGAATGTATATGATGTGGTTTATGCGGTATTGGTTGATCTGTTTTCAGCTTAGGAGTGTATCTTAACGAGTAGCTGAAGTTGCTAGTCATGTGTGTGGACGTGTGGTATGTTAAATATAGCGCATCTATCAGCGATAAAAAATTAACGGAGTTGTTCAGTGTTTTTTTTATGACTGACTCATTGCTTCAGTTGCTTGTCCTATAGACCCATTGATGCCACATCCGGCTGTCCCTATTTTAAAATTTATACTCGGTTTATTGAGACTAGACAATGTGCTCTTTCAAAACACTCTACAGTCTATAGTCCATATACCACGTCGATTCTTCAAAATGTTTAAAAGCCTAAGGATGTTTTTACTTGGACTTTAATCCATCTTAGACCGGTTCAGACCAGACCAGCAAATTACAATCCAAGTAAAAACATCTTAAAAAGGGTAATTATTTGTTAAAATAATTCAGAATAGAACTTTGAAAAATCAACGTAGTAATTATATAATGATGAAATTCACAAGAATAATCTATACTTTTATGGATTCTACAATAATAATCCATACAAAATTGGAAGACAGAGATAAATCCAACAAATTCAAAACAATTATTTACAACTTGACTTTAATGATGTTGGAGTACGATTTTATGCATAACTTATGTACAACACCGTGCACACAAGAAAAAACTCATCAAAGTCAAGGGAAGTAACATTATCAAGTATCAACATATAATTATAAAAATCATTTGAACAAGGCCGGCAAACGGTAATATGAACATGTAGTGCGAATCAATTCAATTAAAATATGCTCGACCACAACACACGGATAAAAAGAAGGAATAATGAAAAAGAAGATAATGCCAAATGATATGAGAATACCCGATTCCATGGCGTTCGATGACATTGTTGGGAGATGATTAATTGTGAAAGTCATAATCTGACGACGAAGATCAGCGCATCGATGGAAAACTGGATCGATTGCAAAAGTGGAAGGAAAGAAGAAACGGAAAAAGTGGTAATGGGAATGGCAAGTAACGAGCGAGATTTTCTTTCCATAATAGAACTTGAGTAAAAGACCAAAACACCCCAACTTTTAATTACTTGGCTTCCAGCAATTAAAATGACACGGACGCTAATCTCCACTAAACGAACGGTGATTATTAGTTTGTAGATTAGCATGTTAAGCCTAGTTTGTGTTTGATCTCCATTATATATATATATATAAAATTTGGATCAAATAAAAAAAAGTTTTGACGTGTAAAATGAGAATTAATCTCAGTCGTCCAAAGTGTCGATCTGATGCACAATAACCCATAAGGTCTAATCAAAAGTGCATCAGATATGGATTATTGTGCATCAGATCGACACTTTGGACGGCTGAGATTAATTCTCATTTTACACGTTAAAATGTGTTCTCATTTGAACTCATCCATATATATATGGGTGAGATCTAATACAAAGAGGTGTTCCCATGAAAAGTGAGAAATGAACTAAGCCCTTTATTACCTAAAAATGAATGGAATAGATCAAAACACATGAATGAGGTATATAGGGGTGAGATCTAATACAAAGAGATATTCCCATGAAAAGTGAGAAATGAACTAAGCCCTTTACTACCTAAGAATGAATGAAAAATGTGTAATATATAATAGTAAAAGTGCATATGCGATAGGTAAAAGTGCACATTCACCTCCTGAAAAATAACACACATGATTTGTGTAGTCTTATTTTTTCCCGAAAAGTGATGCACATATGTGCTACTCCAATGCACTTTTTGTATAGAGTCATGCACATTTATCACATTCGTTTTCAAAAAAGTTTCTAATACTTACATTATTGGCACCAAATTTTCCACTTTAAAATTGATCCAATCCACTCATTTTTTCATTTTAACGTCTAAGATTACTTCTCATTTTTCATATAAGAAGTACTTTGTAGTGAACACACACCCACACACATATAGGGGGCATAGGAGATGGTTCAAATATAAAGACATCTTCCCATGCAAAGTAAGAATGAATCTTGTGCATTCTTTTCCACATCTAATGGTTCAAAATGAGCCAAAAATGCACAAAATTTCGACCAAATTCACGGTGGTAAATTCGTAAATATGTTGCACTCTTTCGCCACCGCGAAAAAGTGCAACAGAAACACGAAAAAGTGTAAGCGAAACATGAAGAAGTGCATATCTTCGCACTTTGTACGGGGACAAGTCTTTTTATTTGAACTCTTCCCCATATATATAATTTGTTCTTTTTAGATAATTTATGTTATATTTTGGTATGTATTAAGGAATGTTAAAGTTATGGGTTTCAAAAATCATTAATGACTATTCATTTCTAGTAATATAGTGTGTATGATTTGTTGTTGTATCATGTTTGTGCAATTTTACAACTTAATTAATATGATTTAAATCTGAACGCTCCCACGATTCAAGTACAATTAAATTAGATTAGAACTAATATTTAATCTAAAACAAAGAACATTGAATTTTTCTATTATATTCAACAATTTGGTGATATTCTTTTTATATTTATGAAGTTAGTAAATTAAAAATGATATTCATCTCGTGTATCATTATTTTGTTATACTTTTTCTTAGTTGTGTTGTAGTACACAAATGTTCCTGTCAGGTATACCTGACTGGAGCCGCCGTCCGGCCTCCTCCTTTTGGGGGCCTTCCAGGTGGTATTTTATGCTCAAATTTTTGTGTATGTTCCTCATCAAGTCTAGTTCATCCATACCAAATTTCAGCAAAAACTTCAATCGGGAAGGTCGTCAAATGATTTTTGCAAGTTAACTGGTCCGGAATACACCCGTTAACTTGCAAAAATCATTTGACGACCTTCCCGATTGAATTTTTTGCTGAAATTTGGTATGGATGAACTAGACTTGATGAGGAACATACACAAAAAATTTGAGCAAAAAATACCACCGGGAAGGCCTCCAAAAGGAGGAGGCCGGACGGCGGCTCCAGTCAGGTATACCTGACCGGAAGATTACTCTGTTGTAGTATTTGTGAATTTTAGTACTACATATGCAATTTATTGTATTTATATCAACATTTAATGTGAGTTGGTTGATGTAATGATATCTACTTATTGAGTAATTGCAAGATTTGTCCAAAAATTTTAGCATGTGTTTGACATTATACCATACTGTTTTGTACCGTTCTGAAACGACGTGGCAGTGAAGAGTTCCGTCCTCAGAATCAGACCGTACCACACGGACCGTGCCCACCCGCAACTATACGTAAAAACCAAAGGTTCTGTTCCAAGTCATTTTCGGATTTCCGGTTCAAAAATCCCATCGCGTGTAGGCGTTACAAGCTTGCAGCGTAGGTGTAGGCCGAAGAAGAGACAACCTAAACTCCTCACTGTGTCAACACTCGCACCAGTGTGAGCGAAGAAGTTGAAGATGAGGAAGCGCGATCTAGCTATTCTAATGCTCTCTGCTTTCTCCATCTTCTTCTCTCTTCATGTACTCCTCTACTTTGAATCTCCGAGGAAAACATTATAAACCCTAGCAATCTCCACTCGCAGTTCCTCTGTCTCTATTTTTTCTGTTAAATTTCTACTCCATACTTAGTAATGTTTTCAGTACATACACTTTGACTTTTTCTTTTCGGTTTCTCTCTGATCTTAGCATGAAGGTGATTTTTCATTCAGAGAGGCGTGGTTTCATCTCTCCGACGAATATCCTATCAAATATGAGGCGGATCGTCTTCCTCCGCCTATTGTGTCTGATCTCAATGGAGATGGCAGAAAAGAGGTCCTCATTGCTACACACGATGCTAAAATCCAGGTAATTCATCTCAAGCATCCTACTTTTCATTCCCTATCATGTGCTTTTATTTTTATGATGATGAATATATCTCAACAATAAATTGCCATTTTCCGGTTTTCTGGTTAACTGTTACTTTCATAGACTAAACATAAACAATATTAAGCTTGGGCTACTTTTGTGGAGGAAATATCAGAGAAGGTGATCTAAATGTTTTAGTTCAATTAATTGAGATCCTTACTTTCTTTAAACGGAAAGTAAAGGTACATAATCAAACCGATTCCCTCAAAACTCTTCTAAATATGTCATATGTTCGGCAATTTCCCTGTTATTTTGGGATGCTGTGCTCTTATATTCTTATTTTGCTCATGATTATAATGGTAGGTCTTAGAACCGCATGCTAGGAGAGTGGATGAAGGGTTTAGTGAAGCACGCGTGCTTGCGGAGGTGTCCCTTTTGCCTGATAAAGTTCGTATTACATCAGGAAGACGTGCTGTGGCAATGGCCACTGGCGTTATAGATAGGAATTACAACCCCAGGGAACCTCGGAAAGAGGTTTTGGTTGTTGTTACATCGGGTTGGTCTGTAATGTGTTTTGATCACAACCTCAAAAAGCTATGGGAGGTGAACTTTCAGGTGCGGTTATCATTATTTAAAAAATTACTGATTTCAACATCTAGTGAGAAAATCACACCAGTTTGACTTTTTCTGTGAAGAAAATTATTATTATCAATGAGGTTTATATTATTATTGGTATTGTTGTTATGATTATTATTACTATTATTGTTTTTAATTATAATAATAAGATTATTAATATTATATTATTACTAGTATTATTGTAATTCTTTTTAACTTATTCTTATTTTTGCTCAACTTGGGGAAAATAACTTATTCTTTACAGGAGGATTTTCCACATAACGCTTATCATAGAGAAATTGGAATCTCAATTAGTAATTATACCATTAGGCATGGAGATTCTGGATTGGTGATTATAGGTGGAAGAATGGAAATGCAGCCTCATGTATGTGGTCTTATGTCTAGTAGCGTTATTAATATTTTATCACTTTTTCTGCACTTTCAATGAGTTGTTTTTCTCTTACATTTTTGCAATTGCTATATATGTTGTACTCTCTTTATCCCGTATACAGTATTCAAGTAAACAGATTCTCTCTCTCTCTCTCTCTCTCTCTCTCTCTCTCTCTCTCTGTTTTAACGATTTGCGTAGTATTATAATTACCATCTTCGTTGTGCGCGCTACTCATGCTAATATAAATTATGTGTCATGGACTGTCAAATTGTCATCATCATCATTACCCCCGTGCCGCAAAGGCTCCCACCTACGGTGGGGTAAGGGGGGGTCGGATGTACGCAACCTTACCCCTATACTAAAGCACAGAGAGACTGTTTCCGGATGACCCATAGTATGGACTGTCAAATTGTAAACAATTTAATTCATGTTTTGATAAATTGGAATGGAGTCTAGGGAGAAGTGTAAGTAGTTTTGAATGGC